GCATTGAAGACAGCGGCCATGAACCTTGTCGAACCATTAGCTCGGTTCTTTCAAAGTTGTCTCGAAGAAATGCAGGTTCCCACAATGTGGAAACATGGACTAGTCACTTCCATTTACAAAAGTGGTAATCGTTCGGAGCCCTCAAACTACCGTCCAATCACTCTCCTCCCAGTTTTATCCAAAGTAATGGAACGTATAATTGCAGAGGCGCTCATGGGATATCTTGAGAGCAACAACATCCTAGTGTCACAGCAACACGGATTCCGCCGAAATCGATCCTGCACTACAAACTTGCTGCTAGCCCGAGCAAGCTGGACAGAGTCAGCTGATGCCAGAGTGGGAGTCGACGTTGTCTACCTGGACTTCTCGAAAGCGTTCGATCGTTTGGACCACCGCATTCTCCTTCACAAGCTTCGAAGCTATGGAATCGGTGACCCTATACTCGGTTGGATCGGCAACTTCCTCGCTCAGCGTCAGCTGAATGTGAGAGTCCGCAGCTCCATTTCCGACCCAATTGACGTCCAGTGTGGCGTGCCCCAAGGATCGGTACTGGGGCCACGTTTATTCCTAACATTCATTAACGATCTTGCCAGTGTACTGCAGTCGAATTTCTTACTATTTGCAGATGATGTCAAAATTTGGCATGATATCAGGACATCGGATGATCACATGGCATTGCAGAGCGATCTCGACAGGGCTTATGCGTGGTCATCCGACAACCGGCTCCAGTTCAACGTGGCGAAGTGCAAAGTCCTAAGCATACGCCATCAGCTTATCTATGAATATCGACTTGGGGACCAGCAGTTACAGCATGCTTCCCAAGAAAACGACCTTGGGGTGATCGTGCATTGCGATCTTGGTTGCTCGAAACAGGCTGAAAAGGCATCAAAGAGAGTCAGTCAAAATATTGAACTCTTACAGAGGGCTTTCGGCAATTGTGAGCCAGCAATCTTTCCGCAAATGTGGAACGCATTCGTTAAGCCTCAAGTGTGATATAAGATCCAGACCTGAAGCTCCTGGCGCAAGCGCGACGTCGATGCACTTGAAGCTCCACAATGTAGAGCGACCCAACTCGTTAGAGGATCGTTTCATCTCTCCTAACAATGCAGACTGCCTTCCCCGAGATTGTACAGTGGTAAACATCGACGTCAGCGGGAAGACCTCAGCATAGTTTAGTTAATACCTACGAACCCAACTCACCCGTGTCTCAATCTGTTGCAGGAGAGTCAAAACACCAACCTGAGAGGCCTTGTGCTCATACAGGCTACGCACTAATGTCGACTTGATTGTCGACGAAACGTTTTCTGCCTTTGTGTGTCCCGTGCCTAGAACGTCCTCTCGACTCACGTTATCCTTGCCCCTACATTAACGCTATTCAAAAAACGTCTTGATGAAACGCTTTCCAACTTGCATTACTTGATATAGTCCGTTCCACTTGGAGGACGAAATAACGCAAACCTAACCATGTGCTTAACGGCCCTCTCCGCAACGTGGCGGTGAGGATACATGCAGAAGTGTCCATGTGAGTAGCCTGGATGTATCTAAACTGGATTAACATACCACATCTGTCAAATGAAGCAACACACGAGTGAGCGTTGTCGTTTCCTTTTTTCTTTCTCACGCATTTACTGAACTATAACGGCACTTTATACTATTTTGTGTGTGCACATCCCATTCCCACTTCAAACTATCGTTATGCAGTAGTGCATTTAAATCGGTAGACGCTTAAAATAACGATTTACTTATTCGACGATCCTTTAAATTTAATTTTTACTCCAACCATCCTACGAGGACTTGTCAAGCACGTGCTTATGTTACCCGTGAGCAACTCAGTTGTTCAAATAGCTATTCAACTCAACAACTTATATCGTTTATGATTGGGTTCTTAGGGAAGATGGAAATCGAATTAGTCACAGCTCCCCACAATGAGACGTGCGAATCGGCGCGTATTCCAGTTCACCCATTGGCCGAGTTGAAATGAACGCTGGATAGTACGCTCGAACAGTAGAAAGTACAGTGGTTCGATTAATCATAGAGAGAAAGAGGGGCAAAGTACCACGTCCAGATAAATGCCACTGAGATCCCGTAGGACGGCCGTTTGCCGAACCTCAGCAGTACTTAAAAGCACCAGTCAATGAAGCGTGTTGAACATCCTTCTCATGACGAACAACCTAATTAGAGAACTAGTTGAGCGATCCTATACCGATGATTGGGTTACATTGAATGCTTAGTCAAGAGGAGAAATGTCAAGCTGTAAAACTGAATTGACACAAACTAAACGAGATGGGTAAGATTTCCCTTCCTGTTGCAGAAGTAGGTGGGTCAACGACGCACCGCTTCCAAATCAATCGACGTGTCAAAGTTATGGAGGGCATTCAGAAAAGAGACTTTTCACTGCAGTTAGAGAACGAGATACGGTTTGCACTATAATGTTTATATTACATTTGTGATATGGAGAGGAATTAAGTACACAGGCAAAGATGCAACAGTTGAACTACATGACTCAATCGCGATGACGTCCTTCAAGATACTCCCGAAGCAAATCCACAGCCGGAGTGTTTGTTTCAAGATGAATTTGATACAACCTGCGAAGAACACGAAATGCGGCCAAGTTAGCATATGGCGTCAGTGTGACTGGATCTAGATACTTTGCGGGGAGGCCACTGATAGGACATATGCGAATTTTCCGTCGTGGCCGAGGTGGAGCTGGAGCCGGATTTGTCGGGTCGGGCAACGGAGTAGCCGTTTTGGGGAATGCTGCAAAAAGGCAATCAGTGTCGGCAAACGTGATCAGATTTCGACAGCATCTTACAGATGGATCCGTCACAATTGGTCCCCCGCGAATTTCAGAACTGGAGTGAAAAGATGTGGAACCGAAGCAGATACAAGATCAAAATAGGAAATTGCTGTGAGGAGTGGGATAAAATACAGGCATCAACAGTACGCCGGCACGCAGTATCGACGCTTCCCTGCAGCGCAACCACCACCAGTCGTGATATATATCCCGGTTAGCTTGCAAATTATGTGGCCCAGCCGTCGGCCTCATGGCTCTATGGCTTAAGCTGCTGGCTAGTTGACGTCAGCCTCTAGCGGTCATGGATTCGATCTCCAGTAGGGGACCGAGGGAATGCGCACCACTGGCTAGCCCCAATGGGGCGAAACGCGTCTGATGGCTTTCCGGATTGTAGTTGAGCTATGTAACTTATGAGCTGCTGAAACGAGTATGCTAAAATTAGAAAAAATGAAGTGCGACTGATTCCGAAACATGGGGACATACATCACCACGGAATATACGCTTTTTCTTGAATGAATATGTATATAATTTACGATGAGTAACCCATCGGCATTGGATCTTACGTGCCATACAAGCAAACGGTGTATAATGACTAATCACAATCAGCAAGCCACGCGAGTGGCAAATTTGGCAAACCCTTTGGAAAACAACTAGAAGATGCAGCAATAATGGACGTGTTAGTACTAATAATATGCTTTTATACACGCAAGTGAAGAAGTAAGCAGGAAAAAAACAGATCATCAGACAGGAAAATGCAAGTATTGTACACGGAAACTTAGTTGAAAATTTTGTGGCTTTGCTGTCGCAGAACCTGCTCTTTCAGAGACAGACGGTTTATGGGACAAAGCAATCTCGGCGAAAATAACAGAATAAGTTGACTGTAGAAAGCCTAGATGTGCATAACTAGGCCGCTGAATAAATAACGATGCTGCTGTATTCATTAGATTCTTCCAATGAATCGGCCAAACAAACTCACGCTGGGGGAACCAAATACTAACCATGCAGGGGAGAGAAAGAGAGGTCCAATCAACTGCTCTGTTCGTTAGCGGCAATCTGCTGTTTGCTTCGTCACATACATCCATCTCGTCCATCCGATTCCATACACCCGTTACATTCTCGGCGGAATTTTCAATAAGTTGTAGCTATTCTCGTTGGAAAACTATTTTATTCTGGCTACTGCAGTTATTTTCATAACACAATATCTGTTGCAAGAACGCAAGTCTACGAAGAGTTACTCTTTTCGGCAAATCGTTTCACTCACTTACAATTATAAAATGGAATGTTGGAGCACAAAGAGCTGACGAAGCCAAAATAATGGGGAATAGTGAAATAACGAAAGTCAGAAACTAAAGCGTCCTGATCGATGAAATTCGCTATCCTCTCTTGTGAAAGAGCACGTGTTTAATTGATCAGTGGAATCTCAAGCGCATCACCCGATCACTGTCAGCATGCGAAATACCAGATGTTGGTAAACTAATTACTGCAAAGGTAGAAGAAACCCTTGCAATAAAGCCCTCCTGTTTGCATAGCTACGGTTATGTTATCCTTATCGCAATCGCTTCAGTCGTACGCTTCCTAAGGCTTTTAGGGTACCGTTTTGGCACTGCATACAGTAGTTTGAAGGTCCTAATTTGGCGTTCGCTTTCGACCAGATGTTGGTGCAACTGACGACGACTTTCCGCAAAGCCGCTGGGCAATGCTCCGCTATGCATTTAGACAGATGCCAGCTTGTATGTCCAACGTACCTCGCATCACAGGTAGAGGTAAACTGACATGGGATGTAGTATGGAAACTGTACCGGAAGTCTGTCTTTAAGGCGTTGGCTATAAAAAGAACGGTTTTCTGCAAAGACGTATGGGTAAGTGGCCGGGAAGGTTCGAGCCACTGCATTCGAAATCTTTTCCAGTTACCAGATAAAAAGGAATATCTCATTTGAAACGGATTTGATAGGAACACATTTCCATAGGGACAGTTGAAATTAATTCACGTCTATTATGGATCACTGCATGCTTTTTGATGAAAGGTGCTGGGCAGCCGTTTTCTTTCAGCGTTTTGAGAATACGGATCTTTTCAGCATCCAGCATCTCTTGGCTGTAAATTTGCGTAGCGAACAAAATTACGTTTGTACCTCAAGGGTACAAAGCTTAGAAAATGCGTGTATTGTCTTACCCATGTGGCCTTTCGGAATACACTTCTTTCTAATGAACCGTCATATTTCCGGGGTAAATGGTGTCTTATTTTGTCAGTTTTTGTACGCTCTTCGGGATACTGCTCCATATTCGCGTATCGTACAATATTCACATAATGTAACAAATACTTTTAAAACATTTCATGAGAAAACACTATGGGAATATAGCGTGCTGGCTAAAAAATTCAGCCTTAACCGCCACCCAGTCGACATTACACAAATACCACTGACCCTATCCAGCAATATTCAACCGCACCTCGGAAAAAGTAGTGGATCTTACTACTACTATGCCGCAAAATGAAAATTCAAATACAACCATTTTTATGCTGCAAGAGAGCTGGTTACATTCTGAGGTGGAAGACGATGTTATTCAGCTTGTTTATTATCTTCCCATCAGATCCGAACGCCCAGAATGCATCAGAATCGTGAACGGGGTGACATCACATACATCAGCCAATGATGTTCACCTACACAACAGTCACCAGCACCTACCAAAGTTTTTGCTAGTCTTATTTGGAATTGGAAACGTATACCCAGCCCTAGACACGCCATCACCGTTGCAGACAATCTATTTTCGGCGTTACTGCCGAAACGTGATCGCTCTGTCTGTGTCATCGCCGGGGACTTCAATAAAAATGATACCACATTCATTTAGGCACTTGATCTGACGAACACGGTGACCCTTCCGATCAGACTAGGAGTGTAATTGGATTCGTCTTCACTAAGCCTGTTTGGCTGTTCTCGATGCAGAAACGAACCCCACTCGGTAACTCCGATCAATGCATTATAAACGTACAGCCCATCATTTACGACAAGACTAACTCCGGTCCATTGCCTAATAAATCCTATAGAATTATCAAGCAACGAGAGTGTTTCACATACAATATTGCGAGGCCGCAGGCAACGCTGTCTTTACTGATTGTACAGTTTTCATTAACGAAGATCTGTGCGAAAAGCTCATTTACAGCCTCAATATTGGCTTCGATCTGTGCCGTCCGGACGAAACCTTTTACTCACGAGTAGACAATCTCCACATCATCGCTATAAACAAACCAGAGCATGTAACAGTGTACACTGTTGGCATAGTTTTGGTTTCAGAATCTTGATTGCAATGGCTTCAGTAAATGCTCAACAGATGTATCTTGAGCCGCTTTGGGTAGCGTTTAGGGATGCTATAAACGACTTGTTCATCTGAACTTGGTGTCCAGTATCATAAGCAGACTCTGAAATTACTTTGGTCATGAAATTCCACCATCGTTTCATCTCAGCATTCAAGATTAAAATGTGGCCAGCTTTGAACACGAGTTCTTCCTCAAGCGATAGTCTGACTGATCAAACCGTGCCACCTGGTTAATCAGTTAATTGCTCTCTTTATAATCGTTTAACCAAGCTGGATAAGCCTTTATAAGCCTTATTGCTCTCAACATTTTTGTTCAAAAATTGTACATGTTGGATAAGAATTATCGAAAAGACTATTCTTTGGGCATTTGCTGACTTCTGACTGAAATGGGAATAATTTATAACCAAATTGTGTTAGTTGGAAAGAAAATTCGTACATAAATAGGGCATTTTCGAGAGTGGAGTCACTACAAGCCGAGGGATTGATGGGGTTGAAATCAGCGCAAGAGAATATCCATGAAGAAAAATCCAACTAGCCTGACGGTTCAATCAAAAGACTCACCTTTTTGGATCGACTACTACACCGTATATTTCAGGCTGATCGTCAAGCAAGGGAACAGTGAACGAATGAAATCGGACCATAGGTGTGGTTTCTTTGGTTTTTCGAAAGATGGCCTTCTTCTTCTCAATCTCCATTCGTTGATATCGGGCTAGTTATTGAGTAGGTTGGTGAAAGCAATCATGGGATTGGGGTCACATCAAGATTTAAAAAAGTGTGTCTCGGTTTAGCGACATTTCGAAGTTTTGTAAATGATGATGTCTGAACACAAGAAAAATCGAAGCGAGCTACTATCATACAGCGAAGCAGAACGCCGTTTGTTGTAAGCACAGGCGCCTCACACTCTGTATTGAAAGTGCGAGGGAGAACAAGGCAAATGGTGAACTAGACATTTAACCGCATTTAAGCTAATGATTTAAGAGCTCAGAGCTCAGTTGGGAATTCCGAAGGTGAAGAGAAAACTGGGTACTTCAGAACACTGCACATTCAACGTGTGAAGTGCTTAATCCGATGCATCCGTCCGGTTGCACTTGTGATAGCAAATGCATAAAACGTCATGCCGACATAAGTCACGTAAGGATATTAGTTGGTCGCTTATGGGATGGACTGGAACGCATGACAGGCAAGTCTAGGAGTGAATAAAGCCAGGCTAACGTTGCTCTCAGACCAGCAACTATCAAACCGCAAAGGTGCTTGAAGACCACCGAGGAATCAAATTATGGTTGCCGCGCACACGGTCATTATAGGTATAACTGTGAGGTTTACTGGTTCTCTTGAGAATTGATCAAGTGACAACTAAGACACCCTTTGCCTTGACAGAGTACAATATGAATGTGTATTATGGTCAAGTTAGGTGCCGAATTATGCACTGAATTCACTGAGCTGTTTAATTCAATAGATAACGCTTCTACTTCTGTAAGTGTCAAAGGGATCCACTTCTATTCTGCTACTCCTGTTCCATGAATTCCGGACCGAACGTAGAACTACGGGATACGGCATATGAGAAGAATGATAGTGAAGTCAGCGTAAGCTTGCGTAAGTAGTAGATATCGAGAAAATGATAGACACGGACTGGCGATGACTGTGAAAGGGGTAGCACTACCGAAAGAATAATGAAGATGTTCGTTAGCTGATGAAGGAAAAAGACCGGATCGTCTGCTCAGCTTCAGCTGCCTCCACTGGACAAATCAAGTCCGTCGCGTATCTGCCGACAGCCTATCGTGGCGCGTGATGTGTATTGTATCTTGTTTAGTGAAATTCCTAGATGAACAACTAACGTAGAACGGAGAAGTAATGTGAGCTGACAGAGAAGCTGAGTATCAGACTGTGCTATAGATAGGGAGAATGGGTTCGTTGGAGGAGCTAGATACCCCTTTCCATCGCGAAGAGACTGGACCTTAACGAGGCGCCATGGTTTGCGTGCCTCGGCGATCCACTGAGCTATGATGGGACGTGCTCTTTTGCATCTTCCGAGTCACTCATACCAGATTGGTCAGTGGTTAGAGGCCAGACAAATTAAATCTCCTGGCCCTCCAGGTTGGGAACTGGAGTGAGGGTGGCTCCTTACTTCACAAAATTGACCCTCTGTAGCCCAGTACCGAAAGCCAGCTGTCTTGCGGTAAGATTTGTGGAACAAAGAATTTAGTGGAGAACCCTAATCGTTCTCTTGTCTAGGCCTGGGCAACCTGACAGTATCCCACCTGCGAAATGCTACTCTATGAAATTCTCACTACACGATTTATCGTAGCTCTGGCCGTCGAAGAAGATAATAAACGGTGCACTATCTACCGCATCGAGCAGGGTGGATGGGAGTTTAGGTGCTGCTACTCAGGCGTTCTCACCTTCCTATCCCCTTCTTGCACTTTCTCATCCTTATCGTCCCACTCCAACTTTACTTTTATCTCCCCCGTTTTCAATCCCAAAATTTTTGGTCCTCTCCCATTCTGCATCAGTGGTCGATTGTCTTCTAGTTTTGACTCCCATGCAATCGCAGGGCGTCGATCGAGTCCCATCGACAAGTCCATGTTCAACAAAGTGGATAACGTCAGTTCATTCGTTTCCCTTTGGAGCCCCGGATCCTCGAGAAGATTGGCATGCTTCAACGTGCGCATCTTGCTGCAGATTGGCCAACAGCAGAGACCCTATGGAACGACATCTACTGCTTATCGGAATCCCGCCTGCAAGATGCGAGTTCCGTGATTATCCTGCGGTCCAACACAAGCGACACTGGCAGCACGTTCTCATTGCATTTGGCTGGAGATAATGCAGCTTCAAATACTGGTCAAGCCGGTATGGGCACTGCTCTGAGTCTTCAGGCTGAAGCCGCACTGGTTGACTGGATTCCAAGGAACAGCCAGTTGTGTGCCGTTAGATTGGCTGGCTTGTTCAGAGCTTCGAAGCCGCGCGTAAACAAAGAGTGCCCGTTTATCATTACGGCATAAGCGCCCACAAATGGTAACGCAGATTCCCTGAAAGAGGAATTCTACAACCAACTGAAGGAGCTCCTTTGACACAAGAAAATTATGGATACTGTGATCCTGGCCGGTGATCTGAACGCCCAAGTTCTGAATGCTACAATCATAAAGGGGTCAGTTTGATTTCCGTTATGTCTAAGATACTCGTCGCTTTCGTTTTTCATGGACTTGCTGGCACCCGTGGAAGCTAGATTCGCGAGGAGCACGCAGAGTTTCATCGTAGCCGCGGATGTATTGATCATATCTTCACACTACGTCTATTACCGGAGCACCGCCATATTTATCAGCGAGCCACCGTGGCTTCGATTCGGTTGATCGATGTACGCCTTGGGACTGTCTACTGAGGACAGGTGCGACCGAAAAACATGTAAATGTCATAAGAGCACTGTAAGCACATAGTTCGAGCAGATAAAGGGTTTACGGCAAACGGTCGCCGGCCTTCAACATCTCCAGCGGTGTAAGACAAGGATGCCTGCTATCATCTTTCTACTGCAAGTTCTCCATCGATGAAAGCATAGAAACTGCGTTCACTGGACACGACCTGCAAGGCGTGGAGCTCTTCCCAAGTGAACGACCCAATGAGTTAGAGTACGCCGACAACATTGCCCTTATCTGTGACAGATTTCAAACGTGCCAAGTAGCAGTGGACAGATTAACACTAAGTATCAGCGGTTTCGAACAATGCTTTGCACCCTCGAAGTGAAAAGTCCTTTAAGATTGGCAGGGACCCGCACCTGCGCGGACCCCTGGTGAGGATCAGCTAGAAGTCGTCGACGAATTCAAGTATCTAGGCAGTTACAGCAACGCCAATGGAATGGAAGATGTGATCACAAATCGCGTAGCAAAAGTACGAGGCGCTTTCGCCAGTTTTCGCCACCTGTGGCGTCGGCGCGATATCACCTTTGCTCTGGAAGGCAGAGTTTACAATGCCGCCGTTCGTTCAACCCTACCATATGGTTGCGAAATCTAGCCCACCAAGTCGACAGACATAAAGAGGCTAGTCACGTTCGATAATCGTTGCATTTACAGGTAAGCTCATGTATGTTGGGAGCATCACATGAGCAATGAATGTGTTCGGTGTCGCGTATTTGGTGCAGGAAGAGCGAGTGATGCGCTCAGCACGGTTATTTCAAGTACCAGGCTCCGATGGTTGGGCCACGTGTTGCATCTGACAACCCACAGACTCCCATGCTGTGCGTTGCCTGCGCGCCGGGGTGTGGATGGAAGAAGATGAGGGATGGCCAAACGATAACTTGTTCAAGAGTAATGAAATCCCTCACTTCGAAGTTGGTGTCGGTTCGTGTTCCCCAACTGCCTGGCTGGGGTCCAAAGGACGACGAACACGTTTGGTTGGGTACACTTGTTGACATGGCAATGAGCCGAGGTTTGTGTTGTGAGTTTCTTTGTCCCTTCTCATGTCGCTTATCTTCCCCCAACAAACACGGTCTCCCTCTTGACGTATAATACGTTACTAAGTAGTCCGACGCATTTTACAGTTTCCAGTAACTTGCTTATTCGTATTTCTTATCTTTTTGAATTGCGGCATGATAGTTGTAGTGTGTCTCTCCCCTTGAGCTAATGTGTAATAAAGATGATGATTAGATACTCCTTTAAACACACACCACTCAAATTCGAGGGTAATTAGTTGCTTGCGCTCAGCTGTTACCTATCAAGCCTAACTGTGCTTTTGATTTCCTTATCACCCTTTGTCTGTAAGTTCATTTGCACTTGCTGCTCATTCACTTTGACTATTGTGACAATTGCTCCAACAAACGGATCACGAGTAAGTTGCGCTGCGGCATCCCCACATTTCGTGTAGGGGTGTGAAGCAGGAAGAATTAGACTCCTAGAGGTAGGGGAACGGAAGCCATGAATCTGGGAGCACGCATACATACGGCAAGGCAAGCATGGGTGAACAAAGCAGAGTGATAGCAGCAGAGTGTGGAATGGAGAAGCCCGGATACGGCAAGTGCCCCACGTATGCCGTAGTCGTCATCATCAAACGCAATACATCAACCATTTGAACTGGTGCTTCACTGTCATTCAATCATGATGATCTATGGAACGAAGAATAAGAAGAACGGAGGAAGGGCAGAAAACCTTTATGCCCTAAGCAAAAATTCCGGGTCAAGGCACTTAAAACTTATCAACAACATGCCATTACAAACAGCTGGCTATCGTACAAAGAAAAGGCGACATCAGCTAGACAGCTTCATTGCGACTTTCACTGCCACGCGTCATAATCAGTCATTACCCCGCACATAACTCAGCACCAAACATACTTTAAACAGGTAGTCCGACTAAGAGATGACGACAGCAGACACGCCACTCGTGTCGACTGCGAGCCATGTCCTGTAAAGTCTCGAGTCAAGCCCCAGGCGAGTCACGTGGACTCCACCTGGAAGGCGAGATGGACTGAGCGCCCCCACCTTGGTCGTCAGCGACTTTATTTCCAGCTTCCAAGTCAACTTCTGTCCACCACGAGCCTTGCGCCACCCTATATCTGGCAGACTAAACAAGACCTTACGTAAGCGGTGACCAAGCATACGTATTACGTGCCTAAGCCAACACAACTTATTCAGTGTAATCTGCCGTTTTAAGGAACAAGTTTGTTTATCAATGCCTAGTACTCATCTACGCACATGATTGTACACGCTGCTGCCACCCAAGACCAGCA